TAGCTTTTTCTTGTCTATGAAGCTCTTTATCTGACCTTCAATTCTACATGATAGTTTTGCTGGGTAGAGTAATCATGGTTGTAGGTCCTTGCTATTCATCATTTTGAATATTTCTTGCAATTTCCTTATGGCCTGCAAAGTCTGTTGAGAAATCAGCTGACAGTCATATGGGTGCTCCCTTGTAGGTAACTAACTGCTTTTCTCCTGCTGCTTTTAAGATTCTCTCTTTAACACTTGACATTTTAATTATGATGTTTAATTATGTCTTGGTGTGGGCCTCTTTGAGTTCCTATTGTTTAGGACTCTTTGTGCTTCCTGGACTTGTAAGTCTATTTCTTTCACCAGGTAGGGGAAGTTTTCTATCATTATTTCTTCATATAGGTTTTCAATATCTTGCTCTCTCTTCTCCTTCTGACACCCCCATAATACGAATGTTGGTACACTTGAAGTTGTCCCAGAGGCTTCTTACACTAGCTTCATATTTTTGGATTTTTTCTTTTTGCTCTTATGATTGGGTGTTTTTTGCGTCCTCATATTCCAAATTCTTGATTTGATTCTCAGAATCCTCTACTCTACTGTTGATTCCCTGTAAATTATTCTTTTTTTAAAAAAATATATTTTATTGATTTTTTTAGAGAGGAAGGGAGAGGGATAGGGAGTCAGAAACATCGATGAGAGAGAAACATCCATCAGCTGTCTCCTGCACACCCCCTCCTGGGGATGTGCCCACAACCACAGTACATGCCCTTGACCGGAATCGAACCTGGGACCCTTCAGTCTGCAGGCCGACGCTCTATCCACTGAGCCAAACTGGTTAGGGCTCCCTGTAAATTATTCTTTATTTCAGTTAATGTATGCTTAATTTCTGACTAGTCCTTTTCATGTCTTTGAAATTCTCATTAAGATCCTTGAAAGTCTAAGTCCCCTGAAACTCTCATTAAGATGCTTGAGCAACCTTGTAACCATTGTTTTGAACTCTGTATCCAGCAGTTTGCTTGCTTCCATTTCTTTCTTTTGTGACATTTTGACTACTTCCCTGTGTTTGTTTCTATGTATTAGGTAGAGCTGCTATGTCTCCTGGAATTGGTAGAGTGGCCTTGTGTGGTAGGTGTCCTGTAGGACCCAGTGGTTCGGCCCCTCCAACCCCAGTCACCTGAGCTAGGAGCACCCCTGTGTGTGCTGTGTACACTGTCTTCTGTAGTTGAGCCTTGAATGCTGTTGTCATCACCGGGAGGAATTGGCCTCCAGGCCAATTGGCTGTGAGGACCAGCCACAAACTACAGTGGAAGAGCTGAGTGGGGCTGTGATGCTGAGTCTGCCCCTGAGTGAGTCGCTGTGGACGTGTACAGTTGTAATCTGGTATGGTCTGAAGCTGTCCACTGGGCGCTGGTTCTGGGGCCTCCCGGGGTTACCAAGCAGGAGCTACAGAGAGACTTGCAGATGGCTGCTACTTGTATTGGTCTTGGCATTGGCCAGGCGAGGCCCAACTATGAAGCAAGGCAGGCTGGTGCTTGTGCCGGGTCTTGGGCCTCTTAGGTTTGGGGCATGCTGATGTCAGTTGCTGTTTGAGAGAATTTAGGAAAGTCTGAAGCCTGAGCCAGGAGAGACCATTCATATGGAAAAGCAGCTGCAAACAGCTTGGGTGGGTCTGCAAATTGGATAGGGCAGGGTCAGAGGGAATCACTAGAGTGGAGCAAACAGTGTGGACCAGGCTGATGGAAACTCAGATATGGCTGCCAGTCAGCTCTGTGACAGGGGGAGGTCCCAGCACAGGAACAATAACCCCTTGGAGCACCCCTGTCTGTGAGAAAGCTTCCCCATGTTCCCTGTATGTCCCTGGATCCCCCAAAGCTGCCACCTGGTACTGGAGTTCAGAGGAAGGTAGACTGTGTAAGTTTGTGTGCTGGCCCTTTAAGAGGAACTGCCAGGGTCTCTGGCTGACTCTGTCACTCAGCCACAATCTCTGCTGGTTTTTATAGCCCAAAGTTACGGGGACTTCTCTTCCCAGCTCTGGAACCCTGAGCTTGGGGTCTGGTGTGGGGCTGGGACCCCTTGCTTCTCATGGGAGGCCTCCGCAGCCAAGATATCCCTCCTGATTAAAAAAATGCCACACGTGGGTGTCGGACCAGCCTATTCTGCACCTCTGCCCTCCTACCAGTTTCGATGTACTTTCTTCTTTACTCCTCTAGTTGTAGGACTTCCATTCAGCTAGATTTCAGGTGGTTCTGAATGACGGTTGTTCTGTAATTTAGTTGTTATTTTTTTGTGTGGTTAAGGGAGGCTGCAAGTACCAATGTTTACCTACACTGCCATCTTGGTTCTCCTATTTTCATCTTTTCTACATGCAAATTCCCTTTTATCAGGTAAATATTACTTAACAATTTCTCTGCACTCCCTTAAAACCTAAAACACCAACCAACCTTTTGTAATAGTTACCACAGTGTTAGGATACTCTAACACTGGATTAAAAAACAGTGACTACCAAATTCTACACTGTATCCCAGTGATTGATTTACCCATGGTTGGCTGGGTGTATCTGGGTGGTGGGCGTTTTGGCTGAGAGCATTGTCAAAGCCTCTCAGCACAGTGCTGCTGCAATGACCATCCTCTGGGCCTATTATGCAGAACCTAACCTTAGACACTATGGCAGTGATGGCGAACCTTTTGAGCTCGGCGTGTCAGCGTTTTGAAAAACCCTAACTTAACTCTGGTGCCGTGTCACATATAGAAATTTTTTGATATTTGCAACCATGGTAAAACACAGATGTATATTTTTGATATTTATTTTATATATTTAAATGCCATTTAACAAAGAAAAATCAACCAAAAAAATGAGTTCGCGTGTCACCTCTGATACGCGTGTCATAGGTTTGCCATCACTGCACTATGGCATTCATTAGAATGGAAGTCTGTATGTGTTTCTAACTCCGACATCAGCCCGCACTCCAGCCTCCTCACAGCACGAGGCTGGTCGTGATGCCAATGTGAGCCGACTCATGGGGACAGCTTCCTATAGTGCACTGGATTCGCTGGGAGACTTTGTAAACAGCTGTGCATGTAGGTTCCGCGAACTGTAGGCTGTGTCCGTCTGACATGTGTGCCGTCTGCCTTCCTACCCTCGTCACTTCTCACTAACGCTGCAAAGACAAGCTCACATCCGGCACCTTCTGAAGCAGACGCTTGAGGCACGTCCTGAGAGGTGTAATTCCGCCTCTGTGAAGTTGGGGTGATCTGATTGCTCCTCTTGTGAGTCTGTGGAGCCAGGTCAGTCGATCAGAAGGTTTGAGGGAAAACACTATCATCTGCTTCTTCAGCAAAGGGCATGGGCACTGAGCATGTTGCTTCGGTGATGTTCTCGGGGCTGTGAGTCCTGCTGACCCCCTGCTCTCAGGGCAGCTCACATCCCGCTCCCCCACTGCTTCCCCTCAGGCCCAGCTGCTGGTGGAGCTGACATCTGGTGACCCTTCACCTCCTCTGAGTGAAAGCTTCACAGCCCTACAAACAGGACTCCCTGCAATGTGTAAGAGGTGAGCAGCGCCACACAAGGCCTTCACACAAAACGTGTTTTTAAGGGAAAAGGTTGGTGAGTCAGAGCCAAGACCAAGACAATCAAATGAAGAGAAGAAACAGCAAGAAAAGTGGGAGGAGAAAAACCTGCCACATACAATTAGGAGAAACACCAGCTGCACGCAGCTCCTGACAGCAGAGAACTAATCTTGTGGCCACTGTGTAAAGTCACATGCTCGGGGAGTCCTAGCAACAAAGCCCCCCAAATTTAATAATAATAATAGTAATAAATAATAATAATAATAATAATAATAATAATAATAGAGAAATGAAGATCTGATTGGCCTGTGGCTTCTCAGGGCCTGGTGAGGTCTTCCTCCTTGTGAGTGGAAGCCACAATCCTGGGGACAGTGTCTTTGGGAACCAGCGAGGGTGCATCTAAGGTTCTCCGACGCTCATTCAGAGCCCTTTCCCCGACTGCCATGGTCAGCACCTCCTCCTCGCCCTGGCAGGAGCTGCGGGGATGGTGTGGGAGAGGCGGGAGGCTCAGCTGGGTGACGCTGCCCTTCTGACCAACGGGAGCCTGTCCTCTGCGGGGACAGCGCCTGCTCTGCATCCGGACCTGCCCGGTGGTCCCTCCGCAGCTCTTCCTGCATCTTCACACCCTCGTCCTCTGCCCTCTCCTCCTGCGGAGGACTCGCTGTTTTCCTGAAGAAGCAGTTGTAAAGAGTTGGTATTGAAATCATAACCAAGGACACTGCAGTGGAAGCTAAGGATGGTCACCGGGCAGGGCTGATCCGAATGCGGCTGATGGGGCGCCGAGCTGGCCCAGAGCGTGGTCGCTGAGCTGTGGGTGCAGGGAGCGGGCAGTGCAGGCTGGGCCAGGTTTCTGTCCCCCAGCATCCTTTTCCCCGCGTCCTCACTCTCTGTTAGGTGCTCAAGCCTCCTTGCTTCACTTTTAAAATATTTACTTATTTACTTTATAAAGATAGTATTTTAAATATCCTATATAATAAAAGCCTAACATATGCTAAGTGTCTGGTCATCTGGTCATCCGTTCAACCAATCAAAGCGTAATATGCTAATGATAAGCTAAGGCTGCTCAACCACTCACTATGATGTGCACTGACCACCAGGGGGCAGACAGTCCACCAGTCGACCAGTTGCTATGACGTGCACTGACCACCAGGGGGCAGATGCTCCAACCAGTAGGTTAGCTTGCTGCTGGAGTCCCACCGATCAGGACTGAGTGAGACGGGCCGGGCACACCCTGGAGCCCTCCTGTGGTCCCTCCCCAGCTGGCCAACCTCCTGCCTCCCACCCCAGCCCGGTGGGGTCCCTCGGCCTGGCCTGTGCCCTCTCGCAATCTGGGACCCCTCGGGGGATGTCGGAGAGCCGGTTTCAGCCCAATCCCACTCACCACAGGAGCTTCTGCCCCCCCCCCCAGTGCACAAATTTTGTGCACCAGGTCTCTAGTTTTTAAATAAAAAGTATTAACAGAACGCCATAAAAATACTATAGAAAGTGTGGTTTTCCCCCTGTGGGGAAGTCTCAGGGAGAAACTCCAGTCTCTCTTCTCCAACCGACTCCTCTGAACCAGTAAGTGGGAGCAGGATAGGTGGGAGCGGGTAGGTGGGGGTGCACTGGGATGGGGGTGCATTGGGCCAGGTCTCCCTGGGCCGCAGTCCCTTCTCACCTGCGTGGTTCGCTCTCCGAGAGTCCACAGGGCTCGGGTGTCTCTGGTCTTGGTGGGAAGAGGAAGGCAAGTCCTTGCGTGGGAGAGGTCGCTGCCGAGCAGTGCCCTGTGGGGAGGCGTGTGATGGGGGTTGGCTTGGGGGCACAGGCGTGGCCTTGCTCGGCCCGTGGCCCCACGCACAGCCCACAGCACTGCTCCATGTGCGTGTGGTATCGTGGACAAGGCTGCCCGCCCTCCCCGCACCGTCTCCTCGGGGACGGAGAGCGATGCCTCTAGGGGGTCGTGGGGCGCACCTGGCTTTCTCCACGAGGAGCTTTTCTGAGTCCGGGTAATGCACCAGGGTTTCCCGGAGGGACTTCCTGTCCAGGGCGAGAAGGTGCACGAAGCCGTGGGCTACCACGCTGGCGGTCCGGCGGCTTCCTGTCGCTGCCAGGAGGCTGAGAGAGAGAGAGAGAGAGAGAGAGAGAGAGAGAGCAGTCTTCCTCTTTCCCCACCAAAATCTTAAAAATAAATCAAACCCTAACCATCCTCTGCTGCAGAGATGGCTCCCTGTTGGCGAGAGCTCAGCCCACTGAGCCCTGAGCCTCCAAAGGCTGCCCCGCTCGGCTCGGCCTCCATCAGGGACTGGGCCCCTCAGCGCCTGTGGGACTCCGCCAGGTCCCAGGAGTGCAGTCTGGACTGTGTCCCCCTTGGTTTTTCTGGACCCACTTTCCACCCTCTGCTCCCCCTTTGCACTGGGAGGCTGACCCTGCGGGCGTGCCTTGCTCTGTGGGCTCCGCCAGGGAGGACGACCAGGATAAGTGGGCGGGCAGGCGGGTGGGGCTGCAGCATTCCTCCCTGCCCTCCCCTCAGGACCAGCTGAGAAGGCTGTTCCCCATCAGATCCCAGCTCCTGAGGCCTCCTGGCCTAACAGGCCCTCAGGGTTCCCGTGACTGCCCCTCTTGCCCCCACCCCAGCATGGAAACGCTCTTAGATTCTCCCTCCCTCCTGTCTTCCCTTTACTAAAGGCTTCCTAGTTACCTGGCTGGAGTGCACCTTCTGGTTTCCTCCAGGCTCTGACTGCGCAGTCAGACATCAAACCTCAGTGATGCCTGGTTACATCAGGCGAATCCCATGTCTTCCCACCCTCACCCCCAATCACCTCAGTGATGCCTGGTTACATCAGGCGAATCCCATGTCTTCCCACCCTCACCCCCAATCACCTCATAGATTCTCCCTCCCTCCTGTCTTCCCTTTACTAAAGGCTTCCTAGTTACCTGGCTGGCTGGTTACATCAGGTGAGTCCCATCCCTCCCCACCCTCACCCCCAATCACCTCAGTGATGCCTGGTTACATCGGGTGAATCCCATGTCTTCCCACCCTCACCCCCCATCACCTCAGTGATGCCTGGTAACATCAGGTGAGTTCCATCCCTTCCCACCCTCACCTCCCAGATCACCTCATTTCTCAGTATCCCAACTGCTCTGTAGCCAAGTCACTCGCATTACAACATCCCACTTGAATGTCACTGAATTCTGGTATTTATATTCCTTAGAGACATAGCTGAGCGTTTTGCATGTGGGAAGTAACCAACATAGAGTAAATAAATGAATAAAACAGGTAAACAGCCAATTCCCGCCCCCCCCCCCAAAAATAGCCAACAACACACACACACAAAAACACACCGGGTGAACAAAAATACTATCATTCACCAGTAACTTGGAAAATAAAGCTTGGTCTTTGAAACCAAGGCAAGAAAAAACATATCTCAAATGTTTTAAAAGAAACAACACTGCTGGCTATGCAGTGAGACAATAACACAGACTGAATGTCGCAGAGCCAACCAGTCAGACGCGGAGAAAGAAGGCCACACAAATAAACACAGTCTAGGGGGGTGGTGGGGGGAAGGCGGGAGCTGCATGACTCTTAGCCTGAGGGTTGACTGTAGACAATGTGCCCTCCTCCAGCTGCTGCTGCAGAAAGGGAGCATCCCAGACGACTGGCTGCTTATTGTGAACAAACTAATCAAGCATGTGGGACCTTCAGAATTCCTGTGGTCTGTATATAAGCAAACACCATTCTCTAACTAAAGAAAGACTTGAAGTAGTGATGGCAAAGAAGTTTCCAAATTAATGGCAGACACTGGACCACAGATCCAGAAAACTCAGGGATTACTGAGCATAAAAACTACCCAAGAAACTCTATCCCTCGACATATCATATTAAAACGGCAATACACCAAAAACAAAGAAAACCTTGAAAAGAGCAGGAGGAACAAAGAGGAACAGCAGCAGACTTTTTATCCCAAACTGTGCAAGTGAGAAGAGAGTGGGATGACCACCCACCAGAATTCTTTGTACAGTGAAATTGTCCTATGAAAGTGAAGGAGACACAAAGATTTGTCAGGAAAAACAAAAACGAGGAATGTCAACATTAGCAGAACTACTCTGCAAGGAATGTTGAAAGAAGTTCTTCACAAGGAAGGAAAATGATAACAGGTTAGAAACGCAGGTCTTCGTAAAGAATGAAAGAACATGGAGAAAGAGCAAATGGTGGTAAAATAACACTAAAATATTTTATTACTCTTAATCCTAATTGATCTAAAAGGTAACTCCAGCATGTGGGTAAGGGAAAGGACCACCCAGTATCCTGAGGCCGGAGGGAAAAGCTGGGGAACGGTTCTGAGGCTGCACACACACGTAAGCCGTCCAGTGTTATGTGAAGGGAGACTTAACTCCATTTAAAATGTGTATTGCAACTCTAGGGCCACCACCAAACTTTTTTGAAGGGAGTATAATTGCTATGCTAAGGGAGGAGAGAAGATGGAATCATATAAAATGCTCCATTAAAGCCCGAGGAGGCAGAAGAGGGGAAAACCTAATGCAAGGCCACCTTGAGGCACAGACAGGGCCTCTACCTGCACTGCCCATTGAACTTGGTGCAGGACCAGCCAGGCCGCTCCAGAATGGAGTTACTCCTCCAACACAGAAAGTGTACATGTTGGCCATGTTAACGCCTACTTCTTTTGCTCAGTTGTTTCACATTTTAAACGTATTGCTCCATGGCAAAGCATGGACATTTTAGTCCTTTCCTGAGGTTCTCCCCAAGACAGGCTCTGCCTTCACCTTTTCTTTAAGGAAGCAAAATAAATGTTTATCTATCTATCTATCTATCTATCTATATCTATTATTTATTTATCTATATATCATTCATCAATCAGTATATTAGCTATTTATCTATTTTTCTATTTACTTACCTATTTATTATCCATTAATCAATCTCTACTAGTATATATCATCCACCAATCAATCTATTAGTTATTTACCTACCTTTCTATCTATTTACTTACCTACATATCATCCATTAATCAATCTTTCTATTATCTACTTACCTGTCTACCATCTATCACCACAATCATCTCTTCAGTCATGCACCTACCCACCTTCCTATCTATCTTCCTGCCTTTTTCTCTATGGAATGGATGCTAATATTTGAAGACTCGATGCTTGGATGAGCCTATTTCTTCCCCCCGGTCACCTTGACAGGGGTGCAGAGGTCAGGCAGAGCCAGGTGGCCATGGGGAGCTTAGTTTGGAGCTGCGAGTGTGTCTGTGCTGTCAGACTATGACAGCAGAACGGAAGTCACATGTTTAAATGCCAGGTTATTTTTAGATTTCTCCAGCTTTAATTAACCTTGCCTACAGGTTACACATTTGCAGTGCTTGATGAGTTTTTGAACAAAGAAGTTGCCAAATGCATTTTGCCCAAACTCTCTCAGCACTGTTTCAAATAGCACCCCCTCCACAAACACTTCTCCAGCATTCCACCATAGAAAGCCTCACTCATTAAGTAGCTTAGAAAGAGGATCCCTAAATGCGTGCCACCCCACACAGTTTCGGAAGGAGCACTGCTGGGGACACGTGGGACTAGTGATTCGTGTCCAGGGAACAAGGACTGGCTCCAATTCTAGTTCCTCCTCTGAGTGCCGGGACCTCAGATACAAGCCTAAGGACCTTTTTGGTTTTCACGCCCATCATGCATCCACTGAGCACCTGCGTGTTTCAGCACAGGGAGGCTGGGCAAGAGGAGAGTTATTAGAGCGTGTGCGGTTTTCTGGAAAGGACACAGGCTTTGGGATGAGGTGCCACCATTTATTGAGTGCAGCTCTGAGCAGTTACTTACTCTCTCTTTCAGGAAGCAGGGCCACCTGTGAACGCCTGCTGTAGGTATCTGATCATCTTTAGACAGACATAGTGTTTATAGACTCCTGATATTCAATTATGACAATGGTGCTATTGGGTAAATTTCTGGCTGAGAACTTTTGAACCTGAGTTTGTGTTATGTAACTAACAAGCAACAAATATACTAACTTTGTGTAGGAGGGGTTATATGTGCATGTAATGCAAACCAGCTCCCAGAAGCCGGGAGCCTCATACTCTGCCATAAGCAAGCTGGGGACCCAGGAAAGCTGATGCGCAACAGCCTGAGCCAAAGGCCTGAGGAGGGGAGAACCGGAAGCTGAAGGGCTAAGTCAGGTCTGGGTCAAAAGCCCAAGAACCAGCAGTGCTTATGTCTGACATCCAAGGGCAAGAGAAGGGGGCCGTCTTGAAGCACCATCTTATATAAAACTGCTGTTTGAAACGTTTACCCTGCTATTTTGGCTTCTGTAAACACTTGATTGCTTAAATAATAAGAAAAATAAGTCCGACAACAGTGAGCTCTCACTTCCTCTCGCTACTCACTCATTCCTTTTTCCAACACCTGCTCAGCCTCCACCTGACTAGCACGACCCAGTCCTCGGGACTGCAGAGCTGCCGGGGCCAAGTCTCTGGGGGAGGCAGGGGGCACCTGGGAACGCGCAAGTCCCTGTTTTCCCAACGCTCTCGCAAGTCAGACCTGTAATAAATCGAAGCAGGAAACTTACAAGTTTTGTGACCTAAGATTTTTCATTTATGACAAGCGGCAGACTGCGGTTGGAGGTGTCTTTCAGGTACCTGATTTCTCCAAACACTGTCCCAGCTTTCAGAGTGACCAGAACTTGAGCTCCATCAGCGCCTCCAAGAACCCGGACTTCCCCCTGCTTCACGATGTACATTTCCTTGCCGATTTCTCCCTGTGTGCCAGACATAAAGAGGAACTTTATTCCTGACAGTTACTCCCCAAACGAGGAAACAGAAACTCTTCTAGAGGAAAACATGGAGAAGAAGGAGGAAGAAACACCAATGGAAAAGCAGTCGCCTGGAGGCCTGAGGCAGTACAGCCACTGGGTGACACAGCGCGTGGAAGGAAGTTACCAGGACCTGTGAGCAGTGACGCCCGGGCGTGTGGGCGCAGCTCAGCCAGCACTTGCTCCGGGAGCGGCGGCAGAGGGAGACCCGGCTGTCTCCCCGAAGCACCTGCGCTACAACCATGACTCGCCAGCCTGACTTCTGCCTACAGCACCAGGTCTGGCTTTAGAAACGGGGCTGTTTATGCTGCTATCCTTGCTCCATGACGAGAGCAAAGTGTGAGTGCGGCGGGTTCCTGCTTATCCCGGGGCTCCTGGCGGCGGGCAGGACCCTGCCTGCTCCCACGCCCGGGGGAAGGCATTACTCTGGTGCCCAAGGCACGGTGGCAGGACACACCCGCTGTCAGCGCTGTTTAATGGAAGGAGAGATGTGTGAGGTGTACTTGGCATCTACTTTGGAGTCTAAACCATGGTTGGTCCTGTAGCTACGTGACCAGCCTCATTTAAGAACAATAAAATGGCAATAAATACATAGCTATCAACAATTGAATCTAAAAAACAAATGAACCAGCAGAACAAAAACCATGGATGGGGCCAAGTGGGTACTAGACTCACCGAGGGTGATTGCTTTGTAAGTTATACATGTCTAACCACTATGTTGTACACCTAAAACTCATACAATATTTCAACTATAATTGAAAAATAAAAACTGATTAAAAACCCCACAATGGATCCCAACACTCAGATGGGCCTCTCTCTGTGGAGATATTTTGCTCTGTGACTACTGCTCAAGCTGGAGAAAACCCACCCAGGTGACCCTCTCAGAGGAGACCCAGGAGGCCTGCTCCTGATTGCTCTAGCCTTTGCCTGCGCATGTCTTTTTCCTACTGTCCCTGCGCCGTGTGCGTGGCTGCAATAACTCTTCAGCCATAATGATAACTTTACATCGACTCAGACGAATCACCAAGCCAGTGGGTGGGGTGGACCCTCGAGATGTTCCTTCTCACTCCAAGAGGCAGGAAGAATTAATGTCTTACAAGAGACCTAAGTGGCACCTGGGCCATGAAAAGCTGTTTGACGCGGAATGAGCCAGTTTGCACAACCCTAGGCAAACTATTGGGTAATAGCCCCTCGATATTAGCTTTCTTTTTTTTTTAAATTAAATCTTTATTGTTCAGATTATTACAGTTGTTCCTCTTTTTTTCCCCCCATAGCTCCCCTCCACCAGGTTCCCACCCCACCCTCTGCCCTTACCCTCCCCCCCCCCCCACTGTCCTCATCCATAGGTGTACGATTTTTGTCCAGTCTCTTCCCGCACCCCCACACCCCTTTCCCCCCCGAGAATAGTCAGTCCACTCCCTTTCTATGCCCCTGATTCTATTATATTCACTAGTTTATTCTGTTCATCAGATTATTTATTCACTTGATTTTTAGATTCACTTGTTGATAGATGTGTATTTGTTGTTCATAATTTGTATCTTTACCTTTTTCTTCTTCTTCCTCTTCTTAAAGGATACCTTTCAGCATTTCATATAATACTGGTTTGGTGGTGATGAACTCCTTTAGCTTTTTGTTATCTGTGAAGCTCTTTATCTGACCTTCAATTCTGCATGATAGCTTTGCTGGGTAAAGTAATCTTAGTTGTAGGTTCTTGGTCTTCATCACTTTGACTATTTCTTGCCACTCCCTTCTGGCCTGCATAGTTTCTGTTGAGAAATCAGCTGACATTCGTATGGGTACTCCCTTGTAGGTAACTGACTGTTTTTCTCTTGCTGCTTTTAAGATTCTCTCTTTGTCTTTTGCTCTTGGCATTTTAATTATGATGTATCTTGGTGTGGTCCTCTTTGGATTCCTTTTGTTTGGGGTTCTCTGTGCTTCCTGGACTTGGAAGTCTATTTCTTTCACCAGGTAGGGGAAGTTTTCTGTCATTATTTCTTCAAATAGGTTTTCAATATCTTGCTCTCTCTCTTCTTCTGGCACCCCCATAATTCGGATGTTGATATGTTTGAAGTTGTCCCAGAGGCTCCTTACACTATCTTCATATTTTTGGATTCTTTTTTCTTTTTATTTTCCGGTTGGGTGTTTTTTGCTTCTTCGTATTTCAAACCTTTGACTTGATTCTTGGGGTCCTCTAGTCTGCTGTTGGAACTCTGTATAATATTCTTTATTTCAGTCAGTGTATGCTTAATTTCTAATTGGTTCTTTTTCATAACCTCGAGGGTCTCACTAGGTTTCTTGAGGGTCTCACTCAATTTATCGGCGGTTTCTAGAAAATTCTTGAAAAACCTTAAAAGTGTGGTTTTGAACTCTATATCCAGTAGTTTGCTTTCCTCCATTTCTGTCATTTTTTTCCTGTTTCTTTGTCTCCACATTTTTTATGCATCCCTGTGTTGATAGAGTGGCTTTCTGTGCTAGGTGTCCTATAGGGCCTAGTGGCTCAGCCTCCTCAATTACCTGAGGTGGACACTCTTGGTGCACCCCTTTGTGGGCTTTGTGCAGAGTCTTGTTGTAGTTAAGCCTTGATTGTTGTAGGTATCACTGGGAGGAATTGACCTCCAGGCCAATTGGCTGTGAGAATCAGCTGTGTCTACAGTGGGAGAACTTCTGTGCTGAAGACACCCTTCTGGGGCAAGACTTGCTTCAGTGGGGCTTTGTTGCTCACTGAGTCTGCCCCCTGAGTGTGTCCCTTATGGATCTGAGGAGTTGTAATCTGGATGGTCCCACTCTGACCACTGGGTACACTGGTTCTTGGATCTCTAAGAAGGTGCTAATTTAGCTTCTTCCTGAGGCTACCCAGTAGGAGCTATGGAGAGATCTGCAGATTCCTCTTCTTTGTTTGGAGATGCCCAGATGAGGCCCAGCTGTGAAGCAATGCAAGCTACTGTGGGGCCTTGAGCCTTCTTTTGGAAGTTCTGGGTCTCTCTGACCCAGCTGCAGTTTGTTAAGTAATTTTCAGATTGCAAAGGGCCAGGCCTTTCATATGCAAAAGCCTCTGCGCACAGCTTGGGTGGGGCGGGGTCTCGGGGGATCAACAGGGTGGAGCAAGCAGCTATGGCTGCTCCTCAGTCCTACCCTAAGAGGCCCCGCGTCTCAGTGTCCTGGTAATCGCTGCAAGCACCTCTGAGAGAAAGCAGCCCTCGAGTTCTGACTGATGCCAGACAGTTCAGTTTCTCCCCTGTATGAGTCTGGGTCCCCAGAGACTGGCCCGGAACTGGAGTTCAGAGCAGTCGGGAGCTTGTGACTCCCTCCTGATTCAAAAAGACAACCGTGTCCTCAGTTGCCAGCCCTTTCCATGTGCGCCTCCGTACCTCTGCACTTTACTTCCACACCTCCTCTGAGTCTCAGTGTGCTTTTCTCTTTCCTTCTAGTTGTAGAATTTCCACTCAGCCAGCCTTCCTGTGGTTCTGGATGATGTCCATTTTGTCTTTTAGTTGTATTTTTGAAGTGAGCCCCTCGATATTGTCAAAAGGTCAGAAGCACTAACCTTGACTCGGGATGCAACAACGGGGACTCGAGTTTATGCTCTGCCATGGCGGCGAGGTGTGCCGTGTGCCAGGGCAGAGAGGCTTGCGAGACAGCCACTCGTTTATGAACGAGGGAGATACAACTCAACCGCTCTCTGGGAAGTTCTGAAGTCTTTCAACACCAGGGGCTGTTGTCCTGAACACGAATTGTTGTTGTGTTATAATTATTGGTACACTCTACCTCTTAGGTAACCTCTGTACAGTTGAAGTCCTCATTTCCTCTGTCCTTTATGAGGAAGGGAGGGTAAGTATTATTTCCATTTCACAGAAAGGAAAGGCGCAGATTGACTTAGCTGACTGGCCAAAGCCCCATGACAGGCATTAGAAGCAGAAAGAGCCCAGAAAACACATCTCTTGACTGAGCGAGGCAGGTAGTGTGCTTAGGTTTTCCCTGTGCAGGATGTTAAGCATGCCTGTATTCTCATGTACATATCAAAGCAAGTTTCCAATACAGAGGGATCTTATTGGGGTTATTTCCATGATATCAATGCTAATAACAATATCTTGCATTTGCATAGTACTTTTAAAAATCATAATATCTGGTAGTTATGTTGCTCCTTATTTTAATTCCTATATTCCTTCTATCAGAACATCCTACTTTATAATTACAAAGCACTTTCATAGATACTAACTCATTTCTTTCTTTTATCCCCCCTTTTATTTGATTTATCGGGGTGACACTGAATGACAAGATCATACATGTTCAGGTGCACAATTCCACAGCACATCATCTGTGCACTGTGCCACCCAACTCAGGTCCCAGCCCATCGCCATTTATTCCCCCTCTACCCGCCTGCAACTCATTCATTCTTGCAGTAATCCCAGTGAGGCCAAATAGGAGAGAGATCATTATTGTTATTTAAAACTGGTGGTAGAGGCTTGAACACTGGTGTGTTGAGCAACCGCACAAGGCTGGCAGCTGACGGCTTTAGCAGCAGCAGCGCCGTGTCACTGGGCTCTAACACGTACAGCTAGCCCACACCCAGCAATGCCTCCAGCACCAAGACCAGTCTCTTAGGAACCAACAAAGCAGCTATGCATTATTTTTAGAAGTACCTGAAAATTAGTTTTCCAAGAGACACTCAGAAAAGCAATGATTAGAACAGGGCCAGATTCCTTATTCTCCGCATGGAGTGAGGCTCGAGTTGCTGGAGTGATTTTTCAAAGGCAGTTATTACAGCTGCCAGGAGGCAGAAGTACATAATGGGTGCTTAAATATAGTTCAGCACTTTTAATTATTTTTTAACGATCATTTCAATAATTTCCCAAGGAGATTTGGCATAATCAACGAACCAAAACTTCCACGGTTGCTTGCATATTTCTAGGCTAATTTAAGCCTTTCCTGCAAGTTTAATTAGCTTGCGAGTGAAGTAGACAGTCCTCAGAGCACAAGGTGTGGGAGCGTGTGCAAAGCAAGATCAAACCCCGCCCCAGGCTGGCTGTGTGCTGATGGGGAGGAAGGCAGAGGGCGAGAGCTGCGTGGGGAGGGTGGCAACCCTCACGGTTTCAGGTCCCGGGGGAAGCTGTTTGCAGGGCTGCTGGGAGCACTGCGACACTCAAATAATTCTGCCACTCGTGCCTGGAAAACTCCCAGATGCGCTGTGAAGCAGGCCCCGCTGCCACGTGGTCGGGGAGGCCCCCCTCGCCCCCTCGACTCTGAGGATTAGGCAGGTCAGCAAACCCTGAGCCCTGGCGTTTCTTCAGTTACTCAGGCAACCTCCAAAGATCAGAGTCTCTTCTCCTTTCCGTTTGCTACAGTGGTTTGTGGAAATGATAAGCAAAAACTAAGCGTAATTTAGGTTTCTAAAATCTGGTCAAGTGACAAGCTTTCATCTGTCATTATTAACTATGACTCAAATCCCCTCTTCAAAGCCGAACAGAGAAACACGCTGTGGCCTCTGCCTTCTCGTCTCTGCTCCCCTGCCTAGTCCCTTCCTCCCCGCATCTGTGCTCAATGAGTGACGGGTGTGACGTGAGCGAGAAATCAGCCAAAGTGGCAGTAGAGCCCCTGTCTCCTCTCGGCCGTCAGTCCTGCTGCCAGGGCACCGTGGACAGGTCATTCCAGGCGCCACTGCCGCAAAAGGGTCCTTAAGCTGGGCTGTTTGCATTCCCATTGTAATGCACGTGGTTTCATATCACCGAGCTGCCTACTTTTGGGGACTGGATTGTGTGGGATTGTATGTTCTCGGTTTCCATCAATCACCACCTCTGACAGCTCCTTCGCGCTGCCCTCTCCGGTTCCCCCCTGACCTCCATAAACACTGTGGCCTTGGTCCTCTTCCCTGACCTTTACTTGAGCTTCCATGAAGTCAGCTTCTGTGACCCGTGGTTCCCAAAGACTGACCTCCAGTTCCCTCCTCTCTCCTGTACAAGACTGATGTCCAAGGTCTCCCCCGCCGCCCTGGCGTGCCCAGCACTGGGTGGGACGTTACCTTCACCCTCTGCCCAGCAGGCCACTTGGACATGCCACGCTCCGTCCTGCCTCAGCTCCAAGTCTTCACGTCTCGTTAGATTTTTGGAGGTCATGCCCACCGCCTGGCCTTCATTCCCCTTGGAGAGTGGCAGGTGTTGGAGGAACGTGTTTGTCATTTCACTTAGTGCTTATTTCATTTGTTTACTGCTTATCTCTTCCATCAGGCAGTGATTCTCGACTTTGGCTGTATTTTAGAATTGCCTGGGAGCTTTTAAAATATGCTTCTTTTTAATTGATTTTTAGAGAGAGGGGGAGGGAGAGAGATAGGAATATCAATGAGAAACTTCCTGGATCCGCTGCCTCCTGCATACCCTCTGCTGGGGATCGAACGGGGACCTCTTGGTTCCTAAGTGGATGCTCCATCACTGAGCCGCACCAACTGGGCAAGACTCATCTGGGAGCTTTTAAAAGCTTGATATGTGGGTCCCACCAGACCAGCCGAGTGCTGGGGCTGGTGAGTCGGCTGTCACTGGGCAAACAGCCTGGCACTGGACTGAGTCCCTGGAGGACAACAACAACCCTTTTATTTGATTTTTTCACTGCTGTTTGTCCCCAGAACCCAGCACAGTGCCTGGCCCATTGTATTCCAAACACTTAATGAGTTGCACTGACTAAACAATACTGAGGCTTTGAGCTGGTGACCCACTGCCTTTTCTGCACGCTCTGCTCTGCAGACCAGCCCTGCTCCCTGCCCCAGCGCACAAGCTCTCCTCTCTCTGGAATGCCGTTTCCTCCTGGTTCGTGCCAGTTCCTCCTTCCGGACTTAGCTTGAGCGTCATGTTCTCCAGGAAGTCCTGCCCTGGGACTGTGTCCTCAGCGCCTGAGCTTCCTCCCACGCAGCGCTCACAGGTGACTCGGGACGCAGTGCTCCTCGCCGCACTCGCCCGGAGCTCCGGGGTCGGGGATCGGGGATCGCTCTCATGTCTCTGAACTCCTCATTTCCTCTACTTTTCATGTTGGCTATTGTCTTGACTATGGATTTAGTCTCTCGAGACATAAAACCCAAGGTCATCATCCCTTCCCTCCCTTCACGTTAGTCCTCAGAGATGTAGGGAAATGCTCACTGTAGAGTGAAATACCGGCACACATTTGGAAATTGATCATGATGGTCATAGACTGAAATAGGATGCAGCTCTAAAAATGAGGCTGTAGAAGATGAAAATATGTAAAATGTTCGTGTAATATGCTACATGACAGGACAAGCTTCAAACGTAAGCACAGTGTGACGCCAGGTCTCTGAAACTACCCCTCAAGCAGTATAACAAGACAGGCCGACCCACAGGAGAACGGTTGTTTCTGGTGGTGGAATTTCTGTCTTGGTGCTTTTATATGTTTTCCTTTTAAAAAATAATGAACATGGAGCATTTTTCATGAAAAGCACAGTAACATTTTAAAAATATTTATTTTTAAGTTAATTATCACTCACTGGAGGAGCTAAAGGGGAGTAAATGATAGCTTGTGGACGACAGGAGAGGGCAGGCCCAACCTTCATCTCCAGCTTTCCCTCCTCTTTAAGGATTTGGAATCAATGGGTGTGATGCTTGATGGTTTACGTTCGTAAAAGGCAACTTTTCAGACGACCCATCTAGGTCCTGCAGGTACTGACATCCGGGTCATGTCCCACGTTGAGCTTGGAGAGCACTGCTGTTGTCACAGAGCGTCTGCCATCATTGCTGCTGGGCCACGGCCGCCCGGGCAAATTCACACCCGGCTCCTGACTTATGTCTGAGCTCCTCCATGTACCTAGTTACCTGCCGTGCGCGTGACGAATAGCACACTCACCTTTCTGCAGACAAAGTCACCAGGTAAGCAGACGGTGGACCTCAACCTGAGCAGCAGGTCATGAAGCATCTGGGTGTCACAGCCCTGCAGAGGAAAGCGAGAGAGAAAAGCAGTTCATGTCACCGCAGCTCAAAGGCCAGTATTCCAGGACGTGAAAATGCAATGGGAGTGACGAGCAACAGATGACTCTGTGTTGACACTAAAATATTAGTTGCCAGTGGATGTGGGCTTTTCTTGACCCAGAATTTAGGAAACAAACCTAAAGCTATGGTACAGCAAGAGTTTGGGTGCTGGTCGATAGATTTGGGCTTCGATCCTGTCTCCAGCCTCTATTACTGCCTAAGCGCCCGTGCCCTCAGTTTCCTGATCTGTTAAATGAAGTGGAAATAATACTTATCACATAATGGCAAAATTTTACTCCTGCAAAACCTAATGCTTCATTGATGATAGCTACTCATGATTGTGATAATAATTATTAGTAGCAATTAAGACTTTCATATATCAAAATCTTGGCTGAATTTTTTTTCTTGTAACATTTCATACTATTGTCAGATATTATTGCAAGTCTGATGTCTTCCTTTTCTAACTCAATTATCATCACCTCAAAGTAGGATAATAGACACAAAGTCAATGATCTGGGGGTGATGACTGTTCAGATGGACTTTGTTAGTGTAAGACACAGGTTATTTGCTGGAATAACTGCCTGGATGTGATCTCTGCCCACAGAATTGTAACTTATCGAATGAAAGGCTAAATGAAAGCCTGTAGGTGCCTCCACAGCCTCCCCTTCTGTGGTGCTTTGAATCTCTTGCTTTCCCAGAGCTTTTACTCTCTCCCCCGGGAGCCGCCTGCACAGCAGCTTTCCTGCTGCGGCGGGTCCTGCCCCCCGTGGGGGTCCTGCCCACCCGTAGGGGGTGCTGCCCACCCGTGGGGGGCGTTCTCTTGCAGGGAGCCGAGAAGTAGGGGAAGGAGAAGCAGGGCTGTGCCCGTCTGTGACGGTTCTGATTCCCGTCGCAGTCACCGTTCTCTGTAACAGTCAGTGGCCACCAGCTGGCCTAGATCCATATGAAGTTCAGACCTCGGGGTTGCTTGACGGATAAGGAAAGTTAATAATTTGTGATCGAAGTAACTTCAAGTAGCCATTGGTGAGAAGCATTCAGATGAACTGACTGTAGCTTCTGGTGATCCGGATAGAAAAATGCCAGGGCCACCAGGCAGCCGCCTCAATCCGCCCAACCAGCATGGCGAGGAGACGGAGGGGCTGCCGAGAGCAGTGGGAGATGGAAGAGGCACGCCTGGGGGGGATGCTGTCAGGGAGCAGAGCCGCTGTGACTGGTGGTGGAAGCGAGTCCTGTCACAAGGCGCCCGGGGTGAACACTGTAGCACTTTCGAGAGGGGCGTTTGCTGCCGCCTGGGCCGCGGTGGGAGAGAGGGGAGCATCTGGGCACACATGGGCGTCATTCGAGGGCAAGTAGGACAGATACAGATATTGAAGATCTGTAGGTTTGAATACCCTAGAGTGGCTAAGAGTAATAAGCCAGGTCCCTCCTCTCTGTAGACATAGATATGACTGAACTCAACAATGTGCTCTGCACAAAAGCAAGCTGCGGCTCACCGTCCATACGATTCCACCTGCGAAAACCACGCAAAACACTACGGCGGTCACTGACGCCGACATGGACACAAAGAAAAATGACAAAACGGGGATTGGAAGGGCGCCCTAAAAATCATTGTGGTGGGGTGAAGGGAGGAGGATGGATCTGGGAAAAGCACCGATGAGACTCCAACTTAATTTTTATCAACCCTAACAGGAATAAAGTAAAACATACATCCGGGGATTGTCTGCAGGCACCAACCCCCTTTTCGGAGGATTGCATCGTCTTCTCTTCTCTCCTTCAAGGGCCACTGGCAGGAAGCGCTGGCAAGGTCCGCAGGCAGCGTTAGCCACCAGGGGCCAGGCCTGCCGCAGAGGAGCCTTCCTCATAGTAGACCCGCCAGCTCTCTGCTCACAGCAGCTGTCCTCAGGGGAAACATTGGGACCACTCTAAATGGGAATTTTTGTTAACTGCACATAACATTTGCATTGCATTCACTAGTTTCTTGCTTCTTCCGAACTGTAATAAAGACTTACAGTTTAAATTTCATCGGTTAAGTGACTCTGTGGCAGACGCCAGGCCTTTGGCCGGGTGGGCCGGAGGGGGGGGCCGACCGCTCCCCTTCTCACCGGCGCTCAGGCCGGGTGGAACTGAGTTTGTGTTGTGAAGTCGTTATGTGTTATGAGTGGTTTGGAAACAATTACATTTCCCCTCCCAGGAAATGATGATTTTCTTGGAACACATGTTGCTCCATTGCTGTGTGACTAAAACATCCCATCTGGTTCGCTTCCTCCGCGGATGCCCCTCCGTTTGCTGTGCAGGTGTCCGCGGGGACATTCCAAGGACAGGAAGTCAGGGCACAGCCACTGTTGCCTCAGTGTCCCCTTTTCTACAGAGGGAGAGGGGTTGCGTAAGAGTTGACGGTAAAGCTGTAGTAACACATAACATTTGCATTGCATTCACTAGTTTCTTGCTTCTTCCGAACTCCCTGTGATGCCTCAAATTAGTTAACGTGGTCCTCACCTCTGCTTTTTATTTATTTTATTTGTAAATTTGTTTTTATTGTTGAGAGTATTACAGATGTCCCCCTTTGTAGAGGGCCCCCCAAGGAAGACACATGGGCATGCTTCCTAAAATATTGTCAGCTGAACCCAAGGTGACTGGCAGAGCCGAGCCTTGGACACACATCTAACCAAGATGGATGTGTTCTCAGCATTGACTCTTCTCTTCACTGCCCAGGTGTTGGGAGTGGGTTTTATTATTGTAAATCCAGCCAAGCACTAGGAATGAATAGGACTCTCCTCCCTCTGACTGGCCCCGCCCTGTGGGAGGGGCCCTGAGGTGGAGCCACGCCCTAGGGTCCCTGACCCTAGGAAGTTCTTTTCATAACGGCAAGCTCCGAGCACGACTGTAGAGTTGGTAAAATGTACCTGTAGGACTTCTCCGTTTCTAGGCTCATCCCTGCTTCTTTGAAAGGGGAGTTACCAGTAATTTATAATTCGCGGGATTTAAGTCACTCCCAGGGACAAACACGGACTCCACCGGGAGCTCCAGGCCCATGGAGCCCTGGTGGGCGGGTCCAGGCAGGCATCCGCCCCAGCTGGCCATTGCCTGAGGCCACGCTGTGTGGGAGCAGCGCCGACGGGGAGAAGTAATTTGCAAAGTAGATAATGCCACGCTTCCGAGTTCTGAGCGACTCGGGACCCCGGTGCACCTCGGTGCAAAGCGGAGATCACCGTTAGCCGACGTGGAGGACGGGACCCACCCTCCAGGGCAGCCCGCCCTTACCTGTGCGGACACCACGGGATGGCTGCGTCTCAGTAAGAACAGGAATGACAACGACCGACTATGTGCAGGGCTGCCGTGAGCACATCACGTGATTCAGTCACTGCCCCACCACCCACCCACCGAGGTGCTGTCCTATCTATCTGAGTCCTCCGGCCGTGGGTGGGTGTGGGGCGCCCTCCAGCGCTGGACGGGCAGGGGAATGGAGCGCACCTGGTCATAGCCATTGCTCAGGGTACCCCAAAGCCCAGCAGCAACACTCATCGCTGGACGCGAAGTTGGTAGGACTGGACGCAGGGGCCCGCCTCCGGCTCAGGCCTCCGGCGTGTGTGAGCGTCTGCCTGGGAGGCTGGACTCATTCCCCCACGACGAGGTCTTTCCGGGCTCCGTGCCCCGGGTCCCAGCGCAGACCCCGGCGTCCTGCGGTGGGCGCCGCCCCTCCCCTGGCAGCAGGCGGAGGCGCTGTGCCCCGGGGGTGCGGGTGGGCGCCGCTTCCTGTGGGCACCGGCCTCCGGTCTGTTAGGCGGCTTCCCTACAGGACGCGGTTTCAATCCCAGCCACGAGGCGGCGCAACAGACCGTTCATGCCCTTTTCTCCCTCTTCTGGCAACTCCCTCTAGTCTAGAGGCAAAATGTGCTTCTCCTAGCATTTAATTTCATAAAACATTTACAAATCAAAATTAAAATGATAAATTATCAGAGGGGAGGGGAGTTGCCCAGCCTCCGAGGACGGAATCGCACCTTGCTAGCTTCATACTTGGGCTTGCTGGAACTGCACGCAGTCTGCAAGAGAGTCATTTTTAAGAAAAAATAAAGGAAAATATTTTGATTTGACCATTCATTTCTGCGCTTTAGAAACTCTGATCACCCCATGTGCAAGCAGCAAATCTTACTAATTAGCCACAGTTGATTGAAGCAAAATTTTAGTAAAAAATAGGACTCTAATTCTACCTTCTTTGAGTAAGAGGAGAAACCCCATGAGCCCAGGGCCTTATCGTGGAGGGGCAGTCGGGGTGAGTGCGTCAGGGGTGCGGGAGTGAAGGTACCTGACCGAGCCCAAGCCTGAGGCCATGGCGGGCGGAGCCGGACACCAGGGCGAAGCGCCCGCCCGCTGCTCAGAGCCCAGGCGCGGCCAGCGGCGCGCTCGGTAAAGGCCGCAGCCGGGTCCGAGTCCGGCCCTGGGATGGCTCCAGAGGCGGCGGAGCGGTCAGACCGCAGCCCCGGGTCAGCGGCCGCGTCTCCGGGTTTACACTCGGTCAGCGTCGGGGCTGCTCCCTCCGCCTGCAGCCGGCCTGTCCCTGCAGCTCTGGCCGCGCCGGAGGGAGGCCCGGAGCGAGCTCGTGTCCACCTGGCGGCCCGGGACCCGGCGCGCTGGGAGCCCAGCTCATGTCACGGTGCAGGCAGCCTCGGCTGGATGACACGGAGACCCTTGGCCTCCGATCATGTAAAGCCAAGTCCCTCCGTGATGGGGCCTCACCCCGTCAGTGGAAGGCCCGGCGGGAGAGAAGGCTGACCCCCGGGAGGAGGGACCTGCTCCCGCCGCCCCGCGCCATCCCGCCCCGGCGCACCGCCATCCCCGACGGAGGCGCGTCTTCTCTCCCTGCGGTGCGCTGGCTGTTTCCCGTCC